TTCTGCAAAGAAGAATGGGAAAAACTGCCCGAAAATGGATGTGCCTAGTTTGTAGCATCCTACAGAAAGGCTTGAGGCTGTAATTGCTGTCAAACGTACTTCGATAAAGTAATGAGCAAAGACTGAATGCTTCTATGCATTAGCATTCATATTACACATTTCAACCCACTATTTTATCGTCATTATGGGGTTTTGTGTGTAGATTTTAAAATGAAAAATGAATGTAACTGTTTTTGAATAAGGCTGTAACCATGGCAAAATGTGTGACATGATGCATTGAATATCCTTGTGTACAATATACCCTACATACAGAAAGTATGCTGGCAACATGGTGGCTCAGTGGTTTGTACAGCAAAAGACACCTGAGGTTAAACACTGGCCAAAACCCTTTCAATGTGAAGTTTACATGTTGTCCCTATGCTTGCACAGATTTCCTTAAGGATTTGTGATCTCTCCCATCATTAAAAAAAACATGCCGTATAAAGGTGTCCTTGACGGTAGAGGTGGCATTGGTCCCTGGGTCCTGCATGTTTCCCACAGCTAATTCTGAGGATGTGTTAAATACAGAGAGTGAATTTCCCTGAGGGGATTAATAAAGGATAAGTTAATTTATACAATACAAAGGTTGACTGACCCCATTATTTGCTAGAATAAGAGTTTCTTTTCTTTTCTTTTTTAATTAGCAAGGCATGAAGGCCTTTTGAATCATAGATATGGTTAGTGAGCTAATTGCACTCAATCAAGACTGTTCCTCATTTCAGAGGTAGTAGATTGAACTGCTGTGACTTTTTTTCTTCTGCAGACCCACCCACACTCAGCTATATATGTATTGTATACCGTGCCAGTTTCTCAGTGTTCCTGCCATATGGATGTTTTATGCCATACACATGATTGTATTTATTTCCTGTTTTTCTGGATGGCAAAAGCAACGACACCGTCCTCTGTGTAGGGCAGGGTAGATGGATAAGCTTTGTCATGAAAGAAAACTAGAGCAAATTTATAAATTTGTTTGTCTTTAAATCTTTATATATTTCACTTATTTTCATGTAACATAATTATAATAAAATAGAAAGTGAACGTAATGTGTGAGAAAAATACTAAAGTAGCTACTTACATGAATCAATCATATTGATATATGAGACATATTGAGCCACTGACCACCGAAAGGATATGAAAGCAATTAAAATGGTTATTAAAATTGGAAAATCTTCATATAAATGTCAGTTCATTTCCATTTCCATATTTTAGTAAGCTATAAAAATATGTAATAGAAAGCTTTCATTCTTTTTCCCTTCCCGACTCTAGCCAAGATCAGCCTGTAACTGTGTTGAGTGATGGCAGATAGCGAGTATGGATTCAGGACATTAACAACTCCTCTCACAGAGTGCTGTGGTGATGTAACCTACTTGCAGTGAAGAGGGCCTTAGAGAGAAAAAGCTCAGACAGCCTGTTTAGGTGGAGAGAATCCTCTGAAATGTTTGTGAGTCACTTTGCTATGTTTGACAGCAACAGTTGTGCAAAATAGCTCAGAGTGAAGTCTTGCACTTGTGTCTCTACAGAGCAGCCAGAGCATTTGGAGAATACCTGTCCAATACCAATCCGGAGAACCGCAACGGAGCAGGTAGGTGGCACACTTAGTAGTCCTACAACAATACTATATCAGTTCCTCCGGCTTCACACATATTTCCTACTCCCAAAAATACCTTAAAATATTTCTGTGTGAAATATTGGCCTGTGACATGTTGGATAATCAGTTATTAAAATATTTTAAAAATGCTGATGTTTATGTAATAAACGCTCAGCTTCAGGGTGCAGTCACACCACAACAGCAATGTTTCACAGGTTATCCCCAAAACCATAAGTATTTGATCACCCTAAAATCAGCTGAACTATACTGTCACCTGGTAAGTGCTGAAAAATTGGAATTGGAAATTGGGCAAGTGTAAGGCTCTGAACAATTTTGACAGGGGCCAACCTGTGAGAGCAGGGTGACTGGTTCAGAAAATCTCCAAAACAGCACGTATTGTGGGTGGTTCCCAGAATGCAGTGGTTAGAGCTTACCAGAAGTGGCTGCAGACCATGTGGACAAGTTCAAGGCATCAGTGTTCCTTGATGGCAGTGGCTTCTTGAAGGACATGTATGGTATGGTATAAGGAACTTGACAGAGAACTGACTCCAGATTGCTCTATCCTGCTGCTCGATTCTGTTGTGAATCCTGATACTACAGGACACTATCAGAGGTCTTCTAAAGTCCATACCTCAACAATTCTAAGCAGGTTATCTTAATGTTGCAGATTACTGATATATCTGCAAGTTCCTCCCCCCTGCTGTTGGCAAGAGGATTATCATATTGTAGGGTTTTTACTTTAACATGTAAAGCACTTTAAGATGACTGCTTTTGTAAACTGATTATGAAAAAAACAAAACTGAATTGGTAATGTAATTGAGGATTGATATTTTCAGTAGCAATTTATATTTGTTAGCATGGCTGTCTTCTGGGACCTGCATGCTCTTTTGAGTGTAAACATGTGGAATACATAAAGTAGCAGAAAACATGACAATTGAGATGGGGCTGAAGTTAGGTGCAAAGTGGCCTGCAGATACGCAGCATCTGTGGGCAGGCTAAAACAGGATTAGTAGTGTGCTTGCCAATTGGGAAGGGTCTGGAAGGGTATCAAGTGAGCTATCAGATGCACTGAGACCAGTTTACCTGCTGGGATTGTGGTTGAGCCTAATTTAGTAACCTACTCAGTCTAATTCTATGCTCAGTTTAATTATATCCTGGAAAAGCTGTTGTGACTAACTAGCACTTCCCTTTCCCCTACCTTTGCAATATCGCTTTTCTCTGTATGATTTCAACTTTATAAAAGGGAATCTTACAAATCTGTTTGCTTTCCACTCAGTTTTTCTTCAGCATAACTTAGTAAGTAAAGTAAAGTAAAATTTTATTTATAAAGCACCTTTCAAGATAAAAATCAAAAAGTGCTTCACAGAAGCTAAAACCTAAAAATAAAAATCAACCAAAAGCAAGTTTAAAAAGATGAGTTTTTAGCTGTTTTTT